TCCATGTTAAGCCACCTTGTATTTAACGAAGCTGGCGGTACCTCTTCTATAATCATTGACTTAAAAATGGCTAAATGTCCTAACAACCATATCTATTCTATAATTGAAAAAATGGCTCTACTAATTGTCCTGACAGTACCTCTATCCAAATTATAAGTCATTCTAACTTTTTTAAAGAGTCAAAGCATTTTAAGTTTGACCAAAATTTATATAATCAAATAATAACGTTTATAAGGTTCAAAAAAACATCATTAGTCATCGTTTAGGGTTAATCACTCAGTTGATTTCTGCATGTCAATCACTCAATTGATGAATTGGATTGGGGATTTAGGGTTAAGATTGAATGTGTACTACCTCAGTAGCTCCTTAGTCCTTATGATGTGTTGATCTGTTGGTCCTTATTATGCCTTGTACTCTTGGTCATGGATTGGGATTAGGACGTCGACATCAGAAGCTGCAAATGCTAATGGTACTGCAGCAATGTTGGTATATATAGCCCTTTCACAAGCATCTCCACCGTAGGCCCCCAACCCTCTCATCTTGCGATTTCGAGGGCCACCACCACCGCTCACCTCCACCACCGCTGGTCCCCCCTTTGACATATCGCCGAAGGCCGGAGGGCGTGGAGATCCATCATTTTTAATAAGTTTTCTAGTAAATCAACTCCTTATGGTTAGGGTCCCTCATGCCAAGTTTATTGGTTTTGGAGATTTATCTCCTTCTCCTCTTCTTCAGCGACGGCAAGAGGGCAAGATGGAATCATTTTATCCATGGAAGCTCTGTTGAAGATGAGGACGACAACTACGACGCCAGCATCCTCACCGGTATGACAACATAGAGACTTTTATTTTTGGACGGCGACATCAAGGCGGAGATAGTGTCGCTGCCATGGACTAATTTTCTCCGGTCTCTTCTCCGTTTTATTGTGTTTAGATCTGGCCACGTTGAAGGGTTAGGAATAATAAGTTTTAGATCAGTCTTCCTCATTCTTCGGTGGTAGAAAGAAGAAGAAGGAAGACACCAGAAAAAGAACTTTCTCAGCTCCGCCTACATGAATGTTGGACGTTGTTCGTTGGGTATCTGTTCTCAGGCCTTTTGCCGAGTGTTTGTCTGTGCGGCCATCTATATTGCAAATCGTCATACAAGTTTGGTTTTGAGATATGGAGCTATTCCTTACGTGGGTATAATTTAAATAAAAATCAGTTTCTAGATATTTGTATAATTCAGAGTGGTGGTAACATGTTGATGTAGCAGCTATTATCATCTCATCCGCCACACTTACTTGCCAATGTTGGAGTGCGCCGACTAGGTAGGTTAACACTCAGTCGCGCTACCACGTGCTGCTTGGTCCGATGGTGATCATCAACACTAGAGGCACTTCTAGCTCGATTTTGATCCCCTTTTAGAAATGTGCCAGCTCCACCAATGTTCTACCACATGTGCAAGTGAGTTAGCATTTTCATAAATATTTTTCAAAGGGTTTTCACATGATCTCACTAGGTCTAATGCATATGAATGTATTTTCAAACCTAATGGCACTTACATAACCATTTCAACTTTATAGATCTCCTTTTAATTGTACGATTATCTATTCTAAACCCAATCACATGCTCTATTGCGTTTTGACCGACAAAACAAAATCCTATTTATACCTTTGTAGTCTTATCTTGGATTTTGTTTCTCTTTGTTCCTCGTCTCTTTCATGAGTGTCATCTTGCTGCAATCTTGGTGTGGACCTAACCTTGCCTAAACATGCAGTTAGCAAAGAGGCTAGTCGACTAGTTGTCTTAATTACCAAAATCAAATATAGGGCTTTTAATGGGGCGCCTGTCCATCTGATCAGGGCATCGAGCCGCCGAATCAAGGCGTTGAGCCATCAAATCGAGGAGCCCCATAGGTAGACAATGAGGGCACCCCACAGGTAGACAACAAGGGGAGGTAGGAGTCACCACCACCGTCGCTTGCCTCAGGCAGCCTATGGAGAGGAGCACGAGGATGTCCTTGAAATGGCATGTCATCACCGATGCTAGAGAGCGGGTGGGTAGAGGCCTGTGTGTGCCACTGATAGGAGAGTAGTGGCCCATTCGCCACCGCCGCTGGATGGGGTCCTATTAATGGCATCTGCAAGGAAGAAGGCGACATTCATCGCCGCTGCCGGATGAGGTCAGGTTGATGGTGTTTGCGAGGAAGAAGGCGATGGTTGCCGTAGTTGGGGTAGCTGGGTAGGGGTGGTGGTGGAGAGACGTGGATGAAGTTGACGACGGGAGATCAGGATGTCGTGATTTGAGGAGAGAGGTGAAAGGTCCTAATGGCTAGAGGAGGTGAATAGCCTATTAAATATTTCTACAACAACACTAAATAAACCGGTTAGACAATTATGAGGTGAAGCAAGTGTTGCGCTAGCCTACCAAAAATACAAGCCACCTACAACAATTTTAGTTTCTATTGTCTCAAACCGCACAATAGTTATGGCACTATACTAAGTTAGTGTACTCTCAAAGACTAACTAAAGAGCCACACTAACCAAATTAACAAGCTCTCACAACTAGCTACACTAAAGAGCTTGATAACTAGTTTGCGGTAATATAAAGAGAGAGAGCAAGATAGTTATACCGCCGTGTCGAGGAGTGAACCAATCAATCACAAGAATCAATATCAATGAAGACCAATCACTTCGGAATCAAATGATGAACACAATAATTTTTTATCGAGGTTCACTTGCTTGCCGGCAAGCTACTCCTCATTGTGGCGATTCACTCACTTGGAGGTTCACGCACTAATTGGCATCACACGCCAAACCCTCAATAGGGTGCCACACAACCAACATAAGATGAGAATCACACAAGCCACGAGCAATCCATTAGAGTACCTTTTGACTCTCTGTCGGGAAAAGGTCAAGAACCCCTCACAATCACCACGATCGGAGCCGAGACAATCACCAACCTCCGCTCGACGATCCTCGCTGCTCCAAGCCATCTAGGTGGTGGCAACCACCAAAAGTAACAAACGAATCCCACAGCGAAACACGAACACTAAGTGCCTTTAGATGCAAACACTCAAGTAATGCACTTGGATTCTCTCCCAATCTTACAAAGATGATGAATCAATGATGGAGATGAGTGGGAGAGCTTTGGTTAAGCTTACAAGGTTGCTATATCAATGCAAATGGCCAAGAGAGTGAGTTTGAGCCAGCCATAGGGCTTAAATAGAAGCCCCCACGAAATAGAGCCGTTGGGCTACTCACTGCACTGAACACGGGCCGACCGAACGCACCGGTTAGATTGACCAGACATAGGACCCCAGCGTCCGGTCGTGCAATGCACGCCACGTGTCTCCTCTCTTCAAAAACTGAGCACTTGATCCCAATGGTCAAGTGATGACCGGATGCGCTGCTGCGAAGTGACCGAACGCTGGACCTCAGCATCCGGTTGTTTCCAGTAAGCATCGAGAAGCGAGAAATCACGACCGAACACGTCCGGTCATGCTCGATCGGACACACCCAGCGTCCGGTCACACGGTGTCTCCCTTGTGCGCTGCCACGTTAGCAGGACCGGGCGCAACCCTCCAACGTTCGGTCACTAAGTGAGCCAGCGTCCGGTCAGAGACCGATGCCAGCATCTTTGCAGCTTCAACTGATCGGACGCGTCGGTCCAACCGAGGCCAGCGTCCGGTCACTTACAGTGACCTCCGTCTTTTCTGTATAGAGCGCCGGTGGCACCGTCGGATTGTCCGCACTCTACGGGCGGACACTCCGCCAGTGAAGTATCTTACCCTTACTTAAATGTGCCAACCACCAAGTGTATCACCTTGTGCACATATATTAGCATCTTTTCATAAAATATTGTGTTAGCACTCCACTAGATCCTAAATGTATATGCAATAAGTTAGAGCATCTAGTGACACTTTAATAACCGTATTTCGATACAAATTTCACCTCTCTTAATAGTACGACTATCGATCCTAAATGTGATCACACTCGCTAAGTGTCTCGATCACCAAAATAAAATGGCTCATAACATTTATACATTTGCCTTGAGTCTTTTGTTTTTCTCTTTATTTTTTTCAAGTCTAAGCACTTGATCATCACTATGGTATCACCATCATCATGTCATGATCTTCATTCGCTTCACCACTTGGAATGTGCTACCTATCTCATGATCATTTGATAAACTATGTTATCACTTAGGGTTTTATCAATTCACCAAAACTAAACTAGAGCTTTCAAGAGGCTAAAGAAGATGCGCTGTAATTGGCGGGATTTGCGTGTGTTGTTGCTGGAGGGGGATACTGCTGGGCGCGAGGTGAACATAACCGGAGGGCACCCTAGCGGGGCGAGCAAAGCGACGTCAGAGGGCAATCGATTACCCTACTTTTTAGTTGTAGCATAATATAAATATAAATAAATATAGATAAATATAAATATAAATAGGTATAGATATAAATATAGATATATATAGATATAGATATTTAATTAATATAAAGATACCAAACAGCTACCGTGTGAGGACCTGTTTGGCACGGCTCAGGCCTGCAATTTCACTGTTCATTCAATGTAGCGGAGCCAGTTTTCTCTCTCCTTCCCTCTCCCTCTCACAGCCAGCGGCTTCACCGGTAAAGCCCGAAATATTGGCTCCTCCGGCTCCGCGAACAGTACCTGAGCTACGGTGAGAAAAAAAAGCAGGAGAGAGAAATCCGGTTCTGAACTACAGTGTTCTACAGTGATCTGCACAGTGATTATCCGGCGGAGCCGGAGCTGGCCAAAGCCGTGCCAAACAGGTCGTGAGTGTTGTCTATGAACCGGTTATCCCTGATCATTAGATCCTCTGCGTGGTGCTGATCTAGCCGTCCTTCTGTGGCACGTGCCTCTGCACCGTCCGATCTTAAGTTCCGCGCAGTCCTGGGCGTGTCCATCGTGCCTGGCCCTCGTTCTAGCCCTCGCCGCTCCGTCCCTCCCCGTCTCCTCCGCCGCTCCGACGGCACCCTTCCCCGCGCCGCCTGCTATGGGGGTGCTCACATCGACGGAGCTCAACTTCCTCATCTTCCGCTACCTCCAGGAGTCAGGTACGTGCGTCATTCCAGCCCCTTTCTTCCGCCCCGCATCTTGTGCCCAGAGAACTTTCCTCATTTTTTTGAACCGATTAGGGTTTAGGAGCTTTGCTGCTGCGGGGCGGCTAGTTGCCCCAGTTGGATTGTGGCGGATTCGTGCGCTGCTCTAGGGAATAAGGGTCCCGTACGGCGAGATGCTGCTAGGATCAGATGCCGTTTAAGGAGACTTGTAGATTGGGGGCGGGTTTGGAGTTATGCATATTTGGATGGAAAATGCGATTTGTGATGGTTCTTGGGAGTGATTCGTGTGGTATATTTAAGGAAAATTCGGTGCTAGTTCAACGACCTCACTGGCCATTTTCCCCTTGTTGCTCTGAAATGAAGAAATTAGATACAACCCCTAACTTGTGTGGAACTGTTCTATTAGTTGTGAACAGTCTTTGGCGCCTTAACTAAGAAAACAGGAATATTGTTACCTCTATCTGTTCGTTCCCCCATGGTTTGGTTCCATGGGCCATGAAAAAATCACATGTTTTGCTGGTAAGTTATAGCTTTTTGGGAATTTGATGCTGCAGGACATTGACCCTCCCATTAACTGTGGCAAACTCATGTTTTTCGTAGGAGAGGGGGAATCTGACAAGCAAGAATGGTAATTAGGTCAGATTCCTTTTAGGGTAGCATGATGGTAGGGACAGGGTTGGGGAATTTGTTGATTGTGATTTGAAAGATGATTTCTTCTTAGCTTTTTTGGAATCAATTGTATGGGTAAATTCTGGAAAACAAAGTCAGTTTTGTTCTCTTCTGGCCTCTGTTGCCATTTTGCTACCATTACCTGAAATGCAGAAACTAGATATAGACTGTATGATGGAACTTAGTTCTAGAGGATTCATCACTATTGTCTCTGTTCTGTATGTGCCTAAAAGCCTTTCTTGCCTCAACAAGAACAAGGATGTTGTTTCATGTCCTTTAGTGCTTTTGGTTCTTGGTGAATGATAGTGTGTTCTCATCACCTGCTACTCCCTTCGTCTAAAAATTATTTGCAAGTGACAACATCCATAGACAGGAGCGCTGCGCACCAACATGTCTTAAGCATTGCTAATAGTTTCTCTTCCAACCATTCTTTTCAGGTTTTATTCATGCTGCATTTACTCTAGGTTATGAAGCTGGGATCCATAAGGGTGGCATTGATGGCAATGCAGTCCCACCTGGTGCTCTTATCACTATTGTTCAGAAAGGTCTCCAGTACATAGAACTGGAAGCAAATAACGATGAGGTAAGCCTGTTTATCTTGCAGTATTTATTACTACTGCCAATTGATGCGACACCATCCACCTTTCTTATTTCAGAATGATGACGAAGTTGAGAGGGATTTTGCGCTTCTGGAGCCACTTGAAATCATCACAAAAGATGTTGAAGAGTTGCAACAGATTGTGAAAAAGAGGAAAATGGAGAGATCTCAAACTGAACGTGAGAAGGATAAGGGAAAAGAGAAAGAACGTAATGAGGAGCATGAACGACGTCCTGGTGGCGAACGGGAGAGGGAACGCCATGACAAAGAAAAAGAGCAAGTCAGGGAGAAGGACAAATCTGAAAAAGATAGGGACCATGATAAAGAGAAGGAGAAAGAGAAAGAAAGAGAACGGCAGCATGCAGAGCGTATTGATAAGGTTAAGCACGAGGATGATTCTCTTGCTGGTGGAGGTGATTAATTACTACCTGCTATATTACTCGTCTTATATCATGTTCCATTACACAACTTTTAGCAAATTGTGAGTACACTTTTGACATGCTTGCATGTTTTCTTAACTTAGCAATGTGCCAATGTTTGATGTTTTCTAAATGTGTCGAGTACTGTACATTGCAGTGCGAACAAGTTTCCAGTTAGTGTGGACTATGTAATGTAGTATGTAGACTTGTGCTTATTAAGCATATGCCTTTTATTGTCCTGCACTAGTGCTTGAAAAGTACACAAAATTGGAACTATACATCTCACATTTGGCTTTCCAAATCTTTGGCAAACATTGTTTCTCAACTTTTGCTTACCAAAACTTTTGGCATGGCAAATTCTGTTAACAAACCAAGCAGGCACTTAATCCTCTCAATCACGCAATATATTTTTTGATATCTCTTAAGAAAAACTTGGGCATGGAACTGATTTTTGATACTGTGTTTCGATTTCATGGGAATTCAGGAGCTGTTTTGTTCATTTGTTCTACTCCATGATCAGATAAGAAGGTGACATGATCACATTTGTTTTTGCCTGGTTTGGGCTGACCCTAAACTGTGTGGTGTCTGATAACAGCCCAATAGAGATCCATTACCAGCCAAAATATCCTGCATCAGAAAAATATACAACTTGTCGACCCCCTTCCAAAATCATGGTGCCGCCGCTTCCTTCTCATGATTGTCCAATCCTTCGCTTCATATCCTGCCACCAATGGCTGGCGGCACCTTGCTGCCACATGAATCGACCTCTGCTGCCATGCATGTGTCTCTCCGTTGCCTAGGTGTCAACGAATTATGGTATGATTTGGCTGTGGCATCTCATCGTCAACACCCTCCAAGCCCACTTGATTTGGTTCTGGCCCCACTATCCTTGTTGTTCTCGATTGCCACCGAGTTGTCTTGTTACAGCTGATGTCCAATGCAAGTTATCAAGTCATCCAACTAATCGCGATTAGTCATGATTAGTCATGCTTATCAGTGCCATGGCGATCAGTTATGCGCTATGATTAGTCGCGATTAGTCAGGCTGATCGGTGCCATGGCGACTAGGGTTGGTTAGATATTTGAAAATATTACTCCAATGGGAGAAGTCGCAAGCTGCCAAAGAACAAGGGGCAGAGTTTCAGCCGATCCCATTACATTATGCACTACAATAAGTCCCGATTAGTCGTGATTAGTCGGGCTGATCGGTGCCATGACGACTAGGGTAGATTAGATATTTGAAAACATTACTCCAATGGGAGAAGTAGCAAGCTGCCAAAGAATAAGGGGCAGACTTTCAGCTGATCCCAATACATTTGCTCCCAACCGAACAAAGACCGTATTGTCTTGATTTGTTTCCATTAGAGTCGCATTTCATGGTAACCATTAACTAAAGAAAATAAAGTGATTCTAGGAGTTACAGTTTCTTATGGAAGTGTTGGTTTTGGGACTTGGTTTTGTGTGTATAACTTCTCTGGTTGCTTGCGGCTGATGGTCCAATGTGAGAAGTAGAAATCTGCCAGAGGAGAAAGGGCAGAGTTTCAACTGTTTCCGTTACATTTTCTCCCAACCAAACATAGCTCTTGTTATCTTGATTAGTTCCATCCAGGTGCTTTTCGTTATCAATACCATTTATGTTACCCTTTTGAACCAAATACTACCTCAGTACGAACAATTAACTAAAGAAGAGAAATGTGATTCAAGGAGTTACAGTTTCTCATGGAAGTATTGGTGTCAAGACTTGGTTTCGTGTGTATTACTTTACCTTCACCATGCCAAGTTTTACTAATCGTAAATACCACAGGTCCCACTCCAATGGATGTAAGTACAACTGCTCAGGAGATATCTAACACTGATGTTACTGTTTTGGAAGGACACAGTTCAGAGGTTAGCAGGGTCCTATAGGATGCAACTATTTTTCCCTCTTAAAACTAGTGAAATCTGTTATATTCTCTTACTATTTCTTTCTTTGTATTCAGGTTTTCGCTTGTGCATGGAGTCCAACTGGTTCTCTTCTAGCTTCAGGGTGCGTCCTTATTATTTTCTATATTGCATATATATTTGTATTTATGATTTTTTTGTGCTTCTGTAGCCATATACTTTGGCACACTAAACAGTTGCATGCCATCATTGCTAAAAATGTGATCAGTGGTCAGATCTTTGATGCATCTCGGGTTTTGTTATGGCGGGGCTAGGGTTGAGAGGGAGAGAGGGGGCCGGCTGGGGGCCTTGTCCACAGCTGAGCAGGTTACAGATAAATAGCCTCCCTAGCTAACAACTCCCTATTATTCCTCTCTTCTTTCCTATTATTCCTCCAACCTTCCAAACTAACCCAATCAGCTAACTAAGGCAAGGCTGAACAGATTTGCCTCTAATTGAGGCGTGGCTGTTAGCCACTAGGTAGACCCATGACATATGCCTCTAACACTACACCCCTTCTGGACAAGCAGCTCATCCTCGAGCTGCAACCTAACCAGCTTATAATGATGACTCCACTCTGACACAGATCTAACACCTAAAAACAAGCCTTTTACATCTCGTCTCATTTTATTACTCTCAACCTAAAACAGATTTGGACTTTTTATTTTGGTGGCCTCCTCAATGGAAGGTGGACACTGTTCGAACGCAATAACTGCATACGTATAACTACCTGGATCCCATGGAGCAGTCCGCATATGGGCTGACGTCTTGAAGAAACAAAAGCACAGCAGCCCACGCAGCTTGGTCACCACATCCAGTCCGAGCCACTAGCCCAGACCTAGCCCCATCTGAACAGATGAGCTAGGCACAGCAACTGCAGCCACCCATCTTGCTGAGGAAAATGGAGCTCCGCCTGTCTGCGCTGTTGGCATGTGCATCACCAAGAAGGCAGCAAGGTGGCCATGCCGCAACTGCAACCAGCGGAGGCGCCCCCGCGGTGGTTGATGGCGGAATGCGGCGACGCTACGTGGTGCGCGCCTGCCAGTAACCCCATGCTTTCTGCCCGCCCGATGGCTGCTGGTCCGCGCTGCACAGAGGGGAGAGATTCCGATGGAGAAGGAGGGGGTGTGCCTCTCCAACCGCCGCCGCTAGACTCTGAGTTTAGGGGGGGGGGGTGCAGCAATGACCATATGCCCAAGATCCCTAACGCGGCGGACGAGGTCGAGGTCCTCCGCGTGGTGATGCGCAACTTGGAGGAGCTGCGAAAGGGTGCGGGGCTGAATCAGCTGAAGGTTGTGCATCTCCCGCACCCGCCGACGCGCTAGGAGGTCGTGTGCATCAGCCTGCTGCCGCACTGCCACTTACATGTGGCTGGCACTCTTCTTACTCAGTTGCTCCTGCGCAATCTCCTTCATCTTCGAATGTGGCATGGAGATGACTGTCGTCCCATAGCTTGGCAAGCCGCAGGGGAACACCGGCGTGATGGTGGTGGTGGTTGCCGATGGTCGGGATTCCTGTTGGGCGAGGTTGGCCATCGCCCTGGCAATGGGAGCCGGCGCGGGCATCGGTGGTGTCTTTGGCTGCTTGTCGCCCTCATCGGAACTTGGCATCTCCGGTACCAGATGTTATGGCAGCGGCTAGGGTTAAGAGGGAGAGAGGGGCCGGCCAAGGTTCTTGCTCTCCTCTAATCCCCATACGGGTTACAGATAAATAGCCTCCCTGGCTAACCACTCCCTATAATTCCTCTCTTCTTTCCTATTATTCCTCCAACTTTCCAGACTAACCCAATCAGCTAACTAAGGCAAGTTGAAAAGATTCGCCTCTAATTGAGGCGTGCCTGTTAGCCACTAGGCAGACCCATGACATACGCCTCTAACAGGTTTGTGGAACTGTGCATTGCAATGTAAACTTAATCTGTAGTAAACATAATATTTATAGGAGTATTTTGTATAAATAATTTTTCATCATATGCACATAGTTTTGCTGTAAGTGCGGCAAAGGGTAGAGCGTACGAGGATCTTTATCAACATTTGAGTACGTAGGAAGGAGAAAATGATATTTATAGGATGGCTAGGGTTCGTGAGAGAAAGACAAGGGACTTCAATCAAGTTAAATGCATTAAGGATGAAAGGGAGCATCTCTTGGTGAAGGAGGATGAGATCCGACATCGATGGCAAGAGTATTTTAAAAAATTGTTCAATGGTGAGAATACGGACACAACATTTCAGTTGGATGACTCTTTTGATGACACCAATAGGCGCTTTGTGCGGTGAATCCAAGAATCTGAGGTCAGAGAGGCGTTGAAAAGGATGAAAGAAGGTAAGACGATGGGACCGGATGGTATCCCAATCGAGGTGTGGAGTGATGGATAAGTCATGTGTGGCTGGTCTTTGTGGGGCTGTTGTTGCTCACATGGTCCTTGTGGCTGTTTTCTGTTTTTAGGACAGCATCTTAGACTAGAGGACAGCATCTTAGAGGACAGCATCTTAGACTAGAGGACAGCATCAAGGACAACATCTTAGCTAGGACAGCATATTAGCATCTTAGACTAGCATCTTGGCATATGCTTGGCTGGCTAGCAGCCTATAAATATGTAACCCCAACCCCTCAGGTTGGTATGGCATTTGTGTGAGCTTGTGTGAGAAATAGACAAGAAAATTGCCCCAACTCCTAGTGTCATCCTCTCTCGATGAGAGTAAGAATTCTCCTACTACCAAGAGTGAGAATTCAGCGACTAACATGGAGATGCCTCGGGGACAACTATAGTATGGCTAACCAAGCTGTTCAACTATATTTTTTGATCGAACAAGATGCCTAACGAGTGGAGAAGTATATTGGTACCGATCTACAAGAATAAAGGGGATATTCAAAGTTGTACTAATTACTGGGGAATTAAGTTGATGAGCCATACTATGAAGTTATGGGAGAGAGTTATCGAGCATCGCTTGAGAGCAATAACGCGGGTCTCTATGAATCAATTTGGTTTCATGCCCGGAAGGTCAACCATGGAAGCCATTTTCTTAATAAGACAAGTTATGGAGCGGTATAGGGAGAAGAAGGATCTATACATGGTTTTTATTCACTTGGAGAAGGCTTATGATAAAATACCAAGGAATGTTACGTGGTGGGCTTTGGACAAACATAAAGTCCCAACGAAGTACGTCGGGCTCATTAAGGACATGTACAACAATGTTGTGACTAGTGTTCGAACAAGTGATGGAGACACGGATGACTTCCCGATTAGGATAGGACTACATCAAGGGTCAGCTTTGAGTCTTTATCTATTTGCCTTAGTGATGGATGAGGTCACAAGGGACATACAAGGGGACATCCCTTGGTGTATGCTTTTCGTGGACGATGTAGTGCTAGTTGATGAAAGTCGGACATGAGTGAATCAGAAACTGGAGTTATGGCGGGAGACTTTAGAGTCCAAAGGTTTTAGACTCAGTAGAACTAAAACTGAGTATATGAGATGTGACTTCGGCACTACTACTCGGGAAGAGGAAGATATTAGTTTGGAAGGTCAAGTAGTGCCTAGGAAGGATACCTTTCGATATTTAGGATCAATGCTATAGAGAGACGGGGATATTGATGAAGATGTTAGCTATAGAATCAAAGCAGGGTGGATGAAGTGGCGCAAAGCATCTGGTGTCCTATGTGACAAAAGGGTACCACAGAAGCTAAAAGGCAAGTTTTATAGGACGGCGATTAGATCTGCTATGTTGTATGGTGTAGAATGTTGGCTTACAAAAAAACGACATGGTCAACAGATAAATGTCGCGGAAATGCGTATGTTGCGTTGGATTTGCGGTTATACAAGAAGGGATCGAGCTCGGAACGATGATATACGTGATAGATTAGGGGTGGCACCAATTGAAGAAAAGCTTGTCCAACATCGGTTGAGATGGTTTGGACATGTCCAACGGAGACCTCCAGAGGCACCGGTGCGTAGTGGAATCCTAAGCCAGGATAGTAACGTGAAGAGAGGCAGAGGAAGACCGAAGTTGACTTGGGTAGAGGCAATAAAAGGAGACTTGAAAGGATGGAATATACCCAAAGACTTAGCCTTAGATAGGAGTGCTTGGAAAACAGCTATTCACGTGCCTGAACCTTGATGGTTTCTGCTGGGTTTCAACTCTAGCCTACCCTAATTTGTTTGGGACTTAAAGGCTTTGTTGTTATTGTTGTTGTATACGCATAGTTTTGTGACCTCTTTACATGTGTTTGTATGTGAGTACATAAAGGAAGCTTGCATTGAGGTGCTTAATAATAATTAAAGTGTACAAAAGAGTGCATGTGACAAAAGTTCCCCTTCAGAACAAGGTTCACCCAAAGTTGAAAACCAAAAGCGATGCTCACATAGATGGTCCGCTAGAATAAATTATAATACATCTGGGCTAGATATGTCACTAATATATTCCTCTGCAACCTTGAAACAGGAAATGTAGCATTCCAGAGCCACACTATTTAGGGGTCTGCAGGGTTTTAATTTTTTAGACTGACTTCCTTTTGACTTATTAACATACATTGATGCTTCTAATTTCTAAATTGACAAACTGTAGATCACATAACATTTAACTAACTTGTCAAAATTGAAAAGATCCAGCTAGCATCATTCATTTAATTGAGGCAATGCTCCTTGTCAGAAGAGTAGGAAAAATGTGATTATCTGACTTTTCTCAAATTTGGTAATTATAGAATATGAATCCATTTGTACCTCAATTGGAGAGGGGCGAGGCAACGCTATGGCAGGTTCACATATCTGACCATGGTGAGGCTGGACAGTGGAGACATTTAGGAGCACAGTGCTCCTTGCTGTCAGAAGAATAGGAAAAATGTGATTATCTGACTTTTCTCAAATTTGGTAATTGTGGAAGATGAATCCATTTGTACCTCGACTGAAGAGGGTTGAGGCAACGCTATGGCAGGTTCACATATCTGTCCATGGTGGAGGCTGGAGACATTTAGGAGCACAGTGAAGAAGCATTGGAGCTTGTTGCCATTGTCTAGAGGGTTGGCTGCTAGCTTCGCAGTTGGGCACATATGTTCTCGGACACTCAGCCAGAGGTTTAGACAGTGGTTGCAGTGAGGACTATCACCCTTGCCAAAAGGCTAAAAGCTGCAGATGGTGGCCAGCGGCCACCACCGTTTTCGATCAGTGGGCACACTTTTCTTGATCAGTTGGAGATGGGATCTTGCCTTTCATAGGTTCGCTTGCCCATTGCCCCTGCTCTGATGAGGCACTGAGCTCTCCATTGTCACCACTGCATATGCACTCACCGTCACCCAGTGCTACTGCCGATACTCACCCATCGCCTGCCAGCCTTCTCATTGTCTTTGGCTGCTCCGGTGGGTTTATCCTTGCTAGTGTGGGTCAGATCCAGGGCTGGTGAGTGGACGAGAGGAGTAACATGGGTTACGAATGTAGGATGGTAACTGAAGGGAGAAAAATTGTGACTGCATGGTTGCATGCTGTTCCTTTGTTTTTTTTTGTTTCTTGCCATTTCTTCTTTCTTTTTTCCATGGTTTCTAGATGGGAGGGGAATCGGGAGCGGGAGAATATGACGTGGTGCCAATCTGGTGCATTACAGGAGATGAAAATTAATGAAGTTAACTATCCACACTAATCTGGCTTTCACAAAACTCTGCATGTCCACATACTTTATTTAGTCCCCATATTCCACCCAATCTTTTATTTATTGCAAATTATGTGTTTGCAACCCTCATATTTACCATGAAAGTTGCCTATGTTTATCTCAACTCTTTGTTGACTGATATAATACTATATTTCAAACTTGCTAGGTCAGGAGACTCAACCGCTAGAATCTGGACAATTCCAGATGGTCCATGTGGTTCCAACATGCAATCATCTCCTCCCGGTGTTCATGTTTTGAAACATTTTAAAGGTCGGACCAATGAAAAGAGCAAGGATGTCACCACACTTGACTGGAATGTGAGATTCTTCCTGCTGTGAAATTTTGTTTATATCCGATGTTTTTCTTACATTTCATGTTTCTGGGGTGAAGACCAATGGGAACATATCATAGAATGCTATTTACTGTTCTATTATTCTACCTGTTGTGTCTCATGCAAAAATTCTATGTTTGCATCTACATTCCTTAATTATTTCATACTCATCATTGTATTTGCTTTTCTGCCATCCCTTGCAGGGTGAAGGTACACTACTGGCTACAGGCTCCTACGATGGACAGGCAAGAATATGGAGTAGAGATGGTGAGTGAACAACTGTTTCTGTATCCATACGTAGTTCGCTTTAGCTCTTCATTCCGATTTTGAAGTTTGTTTGATTGACAATGTGGGCCCATTGTAACTGTAGGATTCTTGTATTTGACTAATGGTGCACATTCTTCGTTGTGCCTTAAATGTCTCTAAAAAATGATCTGGTGATAGGCTGCTTGTTATTCTTATTCATGTATGTGTTAAAATTTAATCTGGCATAAACTCATTGTATTCTTAATTCTTATAACATTTGAAGAAATCATATATAGGTCATACAGCCTAGATGTTTTATTTACCCCCTGTTATCTCATTCTTTCGTGTGATGAAATGAAATTTTCAGGAGACCTTAAGCAGACACTGTTCAAACACAAGGGGCCCATATTTTCATTGAAATGGAATAAGAAAGGAGATTTTCTCCTAAGTGGAAGTGTTGATAAAACTGCTATTGTTTGGGATACAAAGACATGGGAATGCAAGCAGCAGTTTGAATTTCATTCAGGTACAATTGGCATTCCAGAATTGTGTTTGTTTTAACCTGATAATTCATTCTGTATTGCACTAGATGTATCTGTGGTGACCAAACCTAACTCCCATCTGCTTCTATGTAGCTCCAACACTAGATGTTGATTGGAGAAATAATAACTCGTTTGCAACATGTTCAACCGATAACATGATCTATGTTTGCAAGATTGGGGAACAGCGTCCAGTTAAAGCATTCAGTGGTCATCAGGTCAGCCTTCTCAGTGATTAGATTCTTAAAATGCATGCAACAAACTGCATGTTTTTGTGTGCATTTTTCTTTTCTGGATTATCTATACAACTCAAAAATAGAAATAGAAGGCTGAACATTAAAAAGACCACACATTCTCCTGATATCTGATACTTCATTTATTTTATTATCCCCCAAAAAAAAATCATGCAAACAGTTTGTTGATACTTCCTGGTATATTAAACGGTTATAAGGAAGTGTGCCTAGTTTGGCTGGTTGGTGGGAAGTGTGGTCATGCACCCAACAACCCAAGGTTCGAGTCATCAACTCGAATTCGGGTGCCTATTTCTTCTTAATTTCTTATTGAAAAACTGCCTAGTTCCTCCTAGGTTGGTCTTGTTTCTTTTATTGAACGGTTATGATTATTGATAAGTAATTTTGCATACAAATGTAGTCACATATACAAATATACAAGTCTTGTCATTTTGTATTACTAATTTTGGAAAAGTAGCATCCAGTGTGACCTCATTGCGGCGATCATGTATATTTTCCAGAGTGAAGTTAATGCTATCAAGTGGGATCCGACTGGTTCTTTTTTGGCTTCATGTTCTGATGATTGGACAGCAAAGGTGCCATATTTCTTTCTAAAATGAAGTTGTCCATTTACTTTTACGGATGGTAGTCTCCCTTGTTCACTATTGTGCTAAATGGTACAATATATGTTGTTGTTTCAGTATTGTTTATCTGTATATCATCTGATGTATCTGTTAGATGTGCAATTGAGTACATATAGCCTTTCTATAAGTGAGTGTAAACCACATACCTCCTATGGCCCATGCACATACCATCACCAACCCCACCCTCCAAATTCCATGGACTTTTGATGGCTAACTGGTTTGATCAGTTGTTGCCACAATGTTACTGTCCATATCACATTTCTTATTTTGTATGTTTTCGATGAACCATCGAAGCCAGTGATGTGGCCTTGAATGCTAGGGTAAAAAGCAAGCATTTTCCTGATAGTTGATGAAGGATAGAACGGATTGTTTTCTTACTTATTTAGACTTGGTAATCATTGAATGGTGTGTGAATTGGATTTATTTCCCTAGGGTTAACAACTGCTGCCTTTGTGGGCGTGCTTTTACTACTACTACCTTTCATAATAAAGCCATCCCCCTCCTCTTTTACCATCCCTTTGCAGATATGGAGTATGAAACAAGACAAATGTGTATTCGATTTCAAAGAGCATACCAAGGTCTGTCAAACCTGCCTTCTTTTATGATCTCTTGAACTTATGTAACTGTCTACAATATGGTCTAACTGTATTTTGCAGGAAATATACACTATTCGGTGGAGCCCAACAGGCCCAGGAACAAACAATCCTAATCAGCAATTGCTGTTGGCTAGGTAAACTGTTTGAGCAAATATAAAATTCCTATATACTATTTTATTTGTTAGTTTATGTCAATGCTTAGCCCCTGCGTTCCTATTTGGATAGCTCATGGTTGAGAATTGACAGCACATCTGTAGCTACATCCAAGGTTGGCTACAAGATTTGAAATTGGGTAGATGTTATACACTACAAATTGTCATTCTAATTAATTCCCTTCAAGTTTGTAAGGTATACTTTGGTTATCCATACTGGACTCACAACTGTGGTTCTTTGAGATCTAGTATTCCATGGGTATCATGATTAGTAGTGTTATTGGGAATTAGTTTTCCTTGCGTAGTTGGTTATTAGTGATTCTCATTATTCGCTACAATCAAGTGTCATACTTCTTATGCGTGGCATACATAGCATCATCCCTTCCAAGAAAAAAGAAATCATCATGGAAGAACAGAAAAGGGTCAACAGTAACAAAATTTGCCGCATTTGGTTTGGAGAATTTGGCACTATACCTAGTTCCAGCCAGTTTAGCATTTGGATTATTATCTCATATTGCTGCTGATTGTTCACGTACAGAGATAAGATCGTTGTTATAGATGTAACTAGGATTGTACAGCTGTCTGGAGTAGGTTTCTTTCCTCGTAGGACCAGAACTGCATCACAGCATTGATTGACTATTCTGTTTCGCTTGCAGTGCATCTTTTGATTCAACTATCAAGCTTTGGGAAGTTGAGCAAGGACGCCTTCTGTACAGCTTGTCTGGTCATAGGTATTGATACCATGAATGAAAAGCAAAATATTCTGATACTTTATTGTGCTTGCTTATGATGTTAACGGAGTTTATGTGTGTCTGCAGGCAACCAGTGTATTCTGTTGCATTTAGCCCAGACGGTGAATACTTAGCGAGTGGGTCCCTGGATCAGTGCCTACACATCTGGTCTGTGAAAGAAGGCAGGATCCTGAAGACCTACAGAGGTAGTGGGGGCATATTTGAAGTGTGCTGGAACAAAGAAGGCAGCAAGATTGCTGCCTGTTTCTCTAACAACACCGTCTGCGTGATGGATTTCCGGATGTAGTCCAACCAGAGTAGGGTAGTGCATGTCAGACCTAAAACAAGGCTGGATCATAAGTTCTTCCCATGGAAATGTGTGGAGGGCGGAATTGTTAGCAAAATGTAGATCTTAGGTGGCTTTAACTTTTATCCATGTACAGTTTTTTTCTTGGTCGTACTTACCTTAGAGTAGCAATGTAGTAGTTCAAATGTCTTGACAGGGTTTAGTAGCATGGAAATGTTTTGGTGGTAAAATGATCATCCTCCTGATTTCTGAATGCAATGCCGTCACTAGCCTAATCATGCTGCTGGCGACTGCATGCAGCGTGGCAGTTCAATTGATGAATTAATTTGAGATGTACTAGTTTGTAGTTTGCATATATCCGTGCGTCAATGTCTTGTATATTGAACTGTTATAGTAAGTTTCGTTCACCGTCATGGCAAGTAGCGTTCGATGTGAGCTGAAGGTTTTATGTATGTATTCTGAGATTTGGGGCCACATCGAACTATGGCATGTGGCTCAAATCTTAAGACGCACATCATACCAACATAAAACTTGGCGAGTGGCTTTTGTGGTTTTGAAGCCTTATTTGGCGATTGTGTTTGTAGATGTCCCTTTGCTGTCTTTTTAGTGTGATCTCAGGTTGTGAACGTTCGAAGGAACAAGACGACCGCTTTGGTCTTTGATGTAACCTTGTTTGTTAGAGGTTGTTTTGTGTCTCATCGTTCATCTTTTATACTGGCATTTATTTTTCTTTAGATATATAAGACGTGAGACTTTTTTGAGAGTCATTAAAAAAAAACTTTGTATTTTGTCGCACTGGCAAGGTTCCTTGAGAACACATAATCAAGTTGCAAAGTTGCAATGAAGTACTCAAAGAATTGAAGGCAAGCCATCGCCGCTTTAACCTTGAATTTGATTAGAAAGCCACGGCCAACGCAGCAACGGATTCTCGGAGATAGCTCGTCTTATTTCTGTCATAGATAATAGTTTGGCTGTCATGGTGTTGTACTAAGATGTCGCCTTCTTAGTTCTTAATAAAATAATCTACATGGAGTTTTCTGCGCTTTGGATGAAACAACAGCCTATTCTTCTCTAGCTTAACACCTCTTAAGAATTCCATTGTTTTATAGAACTCCATGAGGTCGACGTACAATTGCACATGGCTAGAGCACATGCATGTATTCTGACAGATACACAATCTTGAAGCTTCAGTCATCAGTGCCATGCTTGTTTCCTGGTAGCATCTATACAAGATCCTCTTTGTAAGAACTATTAAGAAGTGACCTTTGACAATGCATGCATTTGTGTTCCAAGAATTGCAACGGAAAAGTTATATAACCAATGTTTCTCATGCATCACTGGGACAACTTCAGAGTGGAATGAAGTGCATCCACCTGGGCATTCTTAAATCTTGAGGTTCTGAAAGCAACCTCAGCACAACTTGGACTAAACATCTGACATCTCAGGATCCATGGATGAAACAGAAGCAACTAATTACTCCCCATGAGGCTGGGAATTTATTTATGGATGAGACATTCTGATCAAATCTTCCTTCTTGATCTTCTTGTCAGTTTACAAAGAATTTGTAGGGAACACCCACCACTACTCATCTCATTAAGGCCTTGTTTGGATGCATGTGTATTCAATTTAATTCACAAGTGTTGGAGTGGAATAAAATGAGATTTAGTTTAATTCCACTTTAATACATATGGATTGAGATAAGTCTTGCTATTATATATCAAAGAACCAAACAATAGTTTGTCTTCCATATGCCTGCATCTTCTGCAATCTGAAGAATTTCTCTTCCGATCCATATGCCTGCATCTTCTGCAGTCTGAAGAATGATCTCATCTCTCTATGGCAAGATGATGAGCTCCTACGCTAGCAGCTGGCACGCGCCCATCGCGTCGGTCCGGCCGCCGACCCTCGCGCCCTGCCGCCGCCGCGACGCCTGGACTGCTCGAGAGCGGCGACGGTGGCCTGGAAGTCCTCTTCGCGGCAGGGGATGCGGAGACCGCCGGCCTGGCCGAAGCCGAACTCCTCCGCGGCGCGCTCCATGAGCTCCCGGAACGGCGGCTGGCTGAGGTAGCTCGTGGGCACCACGAACCGCCGGCACTCCGCGCCCACGTACACGGCGAAGTAGCCCTTGGGCACCGCGCCCGCCGCTGCCGCCGCCTCGCCTTGGTCATCATCCACCAGCAGGGCTGCGCTCTCCCGCTGCTGCTGCTGCTGCTTCCTCCCGTAGAGCCGCCTCGGCGCCCGGAAGTAGCTCATGGCCATCATCGCAACGAACGACGACACTTCTAGATCGATGCAATGCAAGAACGTGCCTTAGTACGTAGGCTGCCGGATTCTTGGTCAGAGAAGAAGAGTTCTTGGCGCCGGCCAGCCAAAGACTGGGTAGCAGGAGAAGAAGAGGGGAGGGAGAAGAGATGGGATGAGATGAGAGCGTGTGAGCATGGTGGGGTTCCTCTTATTATACTGTTGTTTGGTGCGGCGTGCTGCTGGCTTTATGTGCTCCTACAGCTGTAGCTAGAATGTACTTGATTTTTTCTTCTTCAGAAACTGAGTCAAATAGCTGTAAGATAACAACACCTAGGCTGTGCTTGTACGGTTTCTTGGCTAGTTTTCCGATCAATCCATCGATGTTACCTAGAACATGCAATGCATGTTAACAAAACGAACGCAACAACACTCGAAGGAGATTAGAGAGACAAAATCCTTAAGGCATAAAATTTATCGACATCGTACTCGGCATGTGATGCAGCCAGCGGCTGCAAGAGGACAGAATGGTCTGAATGGAAAGATGGCCTTTCCTGTACAGAGGGTACGAAACTGCGTCATCGTCCATGATCACGGTGTACGGAGTTATTTTTTTCATACTTATTAAGTACATGCCTACATTAACCTAAAACTATACTCCCCTGTCCTTTATATTTGTCGCTACGGTAAACGTCCGGGTCAATTTTTTTTAACTTTTACTGTGTTTATACAAAATATTAATAACATTTATATCTTTAAATAAATTTATTATAAAAATAGATTTACTAATTATGTATCGTAAACATTAATATTTTCTTATATATGTTTTATCAAAGTTAAATTCATTTGGCTTCTCGTGAAGTGAGAAGACATGTAAAAAGAGACATAGGGAGTACGTATATGGTATTACATCCACAAAGCTTGTCTTGGATATCAAGAGCAATGCTGCCAAGCTGTTTGTCTTCGTCCTCTATATTGGTAGCTAGGATCGAGATTTAATTAACGGACACGGACTACATATATTATTGAATTTTACAAAGCTCATATATAGTAGTATACCCATGACGAAATATCCCAAATTGTCATGTTAACGATAGATCATGGACTTGTTTATAATAACCAAATAAATAGCCGAAACGGACTTGCTAGCGCTGGGCGTCCGATCCGGACGCTAGCGTCGGGACGGTGCCCGCACAGGGACGGAGCGAGCGCCTAGCATGTTGGGCTTACGAGCGAGTGCACCAGCCTGGGCCCATGCCGCCTCGGACATCACCCACGTTGCCCCAAACGCCGCCTGCGCCGCCAGCCGCTTCCCATGCGCATCCAATGTGCAACACTCGATCTATTTTTAAAACATCCTGATGCAATAGTTGCTACATAAAAAGGAGATAAAACACTTTTTTTGAGTGGATAGATGAAACACCTAAAAGAAGCATCTGAAACACTTATGAAAATGCCTAAAAAACATTTGAAAACCATTGAAAACATATGCAATATCCAGATGAAACACTTGAAACATACGTATGAAACACCTGAAAACACTAAAAACATATGCTTGCAACATACATGTATATGCGATATCCAGATGTACTTTTACAATATCTAGATAAAACACTTGCAACATACGTCTGGAACAGATGAAACATTTGGAACATACACTTGAAATATACGTGTATAACCATTACAACATATGCAACATCCCAATATACTTTTGCAACATTGATACACAATACTTGCAACATACCTCTAGAACATCTGAAACACCTGAAATATACTCTTGTAACATGCATTAGTCAAGGGGATGTCAATGGTCCAGCGTACACCTAGGCACAAGCGCAGGACTCCACTTCCTGTTGATGTGCGAGGGGAGGCGCATGCGCAGACCTCCCCAGGCATAGGCGCATGCCTCTCCTGCCTCCCCTTCCACGATGGGCAATGTTAATGGAGGCGCGGCATGGGATGGTGGCGCGGACCACAAAGTAGCCAGGGATGGGGGTGTGGAGTAACCAGGGATGGACGCGGGTGCGGCGCCGCCACACTTAAGAAGGCCGCGGTGGGCGGGTGCGCTGCCTGCGGCGAGCGGCCCTGCGCAGCTACGCTGGAGAACATGAGTGATTTTTTTTTGTAGAGATACGGAGGTGCAATACATGCGCGCTCTAAAGCAATGAGCGGAGTGCGGTGCGGAGTGTCCGGAAGGACAGACGCCCGCATTCGTTACCGTAGCCGAAATTGTCCTCTTGGACTTGTTACCGTACGTGAAATAAACATTGTCTCAAACTGTCAACGTTATTGGGGTCATCACATGCAGAAGCTTAGTTCACTCTAGAATCATCACACGAGACTATCCACATGCATGTACTATTATTTCTGATGATACGCGTGGACGACGGAGCTGATGATCAGACTCGGCAAAAGCAATGCAAGCTCAGCAAGAGAACATTAATAAAGATTAATTATCGACATATGTGGATAATGCACCAAGTGATCTAAGCTGGAGATTCCATTTCCATGCATCTTTCTTCTTCATTGTGACAGTTAGCTGTACATGAATTAATCATATATAGGATTCACACGCAAGAATGCAAGATCGGTTGGACAAATCACTCATCAGAGTATAAAGTATAAACACAACTTAGTTTATTGAACATGTGACTTGGTTTGCATTGTGTGACAGAAGATATGTTTGTGCCGGTGATGGAAAATGAACCGGCACTACGCTGCTACAAGACTGATTTTAAGAGGAAAACTGGAATTCAGGAGACACCTTTTTTATTTACAGAGTTTTTCAGACATGGTAAAAAACTATCTGTTTCTAAAATACCTAGTAAATTTTAAAGAGTCATGGAGATGGTAAAAAAAAATAGCCGCCACCGAAAATTGATTTACAAAGTGCCATTGTTAATGAGGTCTGGGGTCCACTAAAAATCTTAAAACAATCAAATTCACTATTATCTCCCTCACTTACCTTCCCATGGCCCCACCTCTCTGCTCTCTGCGGCGCTGCTTCCCACCTCTCTCTCTCTCTATAGCTGCGTCCCATGCTTCCTCCACGCACCCACACTACCTCGAAAACATCTCCTGTCCCATCCCCGTGGTCACCCCTTGATTTTTTAGCCTAGAGAGAACTAATACTTTAAAAGGAGCATGTCCCAAACTAAATTTTCAGCTCGTAACTTCAGTCACAACACATACACTGGCGTCACTAACTAGATACGCTAGGACGTCTAGAAAACACTTTCCACGTAAGCTATGTCACAAACTCTCTCACTTGTAGTATCCAGTTTTGAGGACAAAACAAGATACATACCTTATGTATGTTTAGGAAGTCAAATCACATATATTGCTACAAATAAGAGGTAATATTAAACACAATGTCTTTATTACATAGCGTATAAATATTCATTGCAAAAAATATAGTTTTACAACATATATCGTACTATAACTCTATCTTTGTGGCGAAGCCTTCAACACTATAGGTACATCAACTAGTTGATTACAAGTCTAAAACTTTTTGAAAACCTCCACAAAAGAGCCACCATATGGTACGCATCCATGATTTTACCAAAGTATTGAAATAAAACAAGCACGAGCAACTACCACTTAACTAGCATAACGAGGGATGAAGGCTCAAAGGTTTGATATGGCTCTAATGCGGTAAGTCCTTTTAATTGGTCAGATTTTATTATTAAACATAAGTTGCTAAATTATGCTTAGTGTCGGTACAGAATATGATCAACTAGTAAATATTTATAGTTTTGCTGTACGTTGTGATCGGAGGTGGCCGAGCACACAATGACACAGGGTTTATACTGGTTCAGGCAATGTGCCCTACGTCCAGTTTGGGTCGGTCAGTGACTTTATTCCTGAGCCTAGGTGCTCGAAGTTTGCAGTGGGGTTACAAACGAGAAGGAGAAAGATGGGGTGTACAAGAGGTCCGGTCGGCTCTGGTCGGAAGGACCGAGAGCGACAGGAGCTACGCTATGAGCTGAGTGTTCAAGCGTGTGCTTGAGGTTCAAACCCGGCGGTTCTATAGTTGTGGACTAGTGAACTTGGTCGATCTAATGAATCTCAGAAAGGCTCTAAGAGGCCCCCCACCTTTGTTGGAGGGAGCGCATCCCCTAAGGCGTGCAGGGTATGGTCCCTGGTATCGTAGTTTGACTTGTGCGCCCTGGCTTGCTTTCTCCGTTCGTCCCTGGTTCCTTCCGAGCGGGTGTCCCCGGTCGAATAGCCCCAGTCGGCTCTGGTCGTGCCAGTCAGAGAAGAGCGGTGAGCAGGGTTTCTATGCACCCCGATCGGAGACGCGGGGTCGGAGTCGGAAGTAGCGCTTGGGCTAGGCCTTTCGATTGGAGAGGTCATCCGGAGGCGGCTGGAGTCCGAAGAAAGTGCTCTGGTCGGAGAGGTGGGTCGAAGTAGTCGACGAGCGGGCCTGTTCCTTTTTGGGCAGACCTTCCGGTCGATGACTGGACCGCCCTTCTGGCCTGTTGTTTTAGATTCTTGGGCCGGCCCATGAGTTGTGTGCTGCCTGCTTGGGCCGAGCCTTGGTGTGGAAGCCGGTCCCCGAGGGACCCCGGGTTTATGAACGCGACATGAGCCCCCGGGTGATTCGGGTAGAATCGTCCGAGGGATTTTTATCTTTGACGGTGGGTGCGTGTGAGCGCGACCCACGGGTGTAGCCCCCGAGCCTCCGGGTGGTTCGGTAGAACCGTCTGGGGGTTTTTCTGTGCTGTCAGTGGGGGAGGTTTCCATTTTGTCGGTGGGTGCGCACGAGCGCACCCGCGGGTGTAGCCCTCGAGCCCCCGGGTGGTTCGGGCAGAATCGTCTGGGGGATGTTCGGTTTAGCTGGCGTGTGTGCATGTTTTTTAGTTTAAGACGGAGTTTTGTCAACCAAGGCGTCGTTGTGTAGCCGAGGCGTTTTAGTCATTTGAGAGATTGGGTGAGAGGGAGCTCGTGGATCCTGGCGTCGGTGCGCGCCGTGGGATCGGGTGAGGTAGTTAGTTTGGATGAGACAGAGCTCACTGATC